TCTAAACTCAGGAATATATCTGAAATAATTATGCAATGCCCCCTTCGAAGTATAGAAGACAACGCCTTCGACCATACTAGATCACTGACTAAACTACTTCTTTCTAAAACAAAATTTCATGGAATCCCAAGTGCCATTAGTAGAATCAAGAGTTTAAAAACACTTGAGATTGTGCAAGGTAGATTAACTGAGATTACAACAGAACTTCAATATATGCCTGAGCTTGTAAACCTCTCATTGACTAAGAACAGAATAAGTTCTATATTAGGCAGTGCTTTTATGGGTGATCAAAAACTCCAATCAATTATTCTAACGCGTAATAAGTTGAAGAGCTTAGATAATAAAACATTTGATCCATGCCTGAGTCTACGATTGATTAAATTGGACCAGAACGCTCTCGTAACAGTTGATGGCTTATTTCAAAATCCTAGTTTGATGGTAAATTTCATAATCTATTTCTATTTTTATCTTTTTCCTTCTATCTTTAATATGTGTCAGTATTAATGAAAGCATCAATGGCTCAATGGTTAAAACACTAAGCTCTCTTTGTGAAGTGCTGAGGTCTAATCCCAAGTGGTCACCTAGCCTTAAATAGATAGGTACAAGCTGGACTGGGAAGTAAAAGCATGCAGTACGCAATGCTACCCTCATTTCCACCGTCACGCAGTTGGTCACGTAACCTCTGTAACTTTTTCCAGCCCACACTGAAACTTTAACAGCAAAGCATTAAAATAATAGCAAAATATCACAGATTTTCAAAAAATATGTGCTACTGCATTTTTTTTCTTTACACGAAAAAACAATTTATTTATTATCTGTTTAACAAAGAATTTATTTAATTATCCATTCGTATATACGGTTTCCTGTTAGTAAATTATTTAAATTTTACTCTAAAAGTCATTATTAAATCATAGACTATATAANACACTTACTTACATGACCATTGACCTGATATGACGGTTCAAAGTTTAAGAAAAATTCCGTCACGGCTTTCAGACACCATCGATTTTATTTTATTTTATAACCGTTTTACTTTCTGGGGAAAGCAGCATATCTTCAACCTACAAGAATGCGATATCACAGAGTGCTTCTTGATGGCCTACAGGAACCTTCAGTACTAAGCCATCTGCGAACTCCACTTTATCCTCGGCTGAAATTCTGTACTTATTTTGCTCTTAGTACCTTGATATTCCTTAGAACTACTTTTAAGGCAATACATCCACAAATACCCTTCCTGTAAACAGGTTTTTTCTGGCTAACGGAACAAACATCATCGAAACATTTCAATGACTCTACTCCCTCTCTAAAGTTGGAACTTAGCAGAACCAACTTTTCTTCCTCAAAATCAGATAATATTCTTTTAAAGAAAGACATATCAAATTCTCCCCAATTTTTTGCCCATTATACTTCTAAACTAATTAATATGCATTAAGAGAACTCTTCTTAAATAGAAGAGCGTTCTACTTTCTGGCTCGTGTTGTAATTAATTTGGCCTATGCATTCTAAACTAATGACTTTCTTCTTTATTTTTTTACAGAAAATCGACTTGAGCTATAACTTATTGACAACAGTACCTAAAGATCGTTTCGACAATTTGGAAAATTTGCCTAGTGTTAATGTGAATAGAAATCATGTAAGGAATGTTACAAAATGGTTTTCTGGAAACAATCGTTTGGAATATATCGATTTAAGTAACAACTTAATCGAATCTTGCGATTATACATTTCAATCCTTACTATCGTTGAAGACTATTAATTTACAGGATAACCGTGTTAGTAAAATAACAAAAAATTGCTTTTCGTCGATTCCATCGCTTGAAGAATTGATACTGAGTCAGAATGATATTTCCCGAATCGATTCCGAAGCTTTGACTCAGCTAGACCGGTTGCAAAATATTGATGTATCTCTTAATAGACTAAAAACATTGTCAAGAAAATCCTTTCCTGGTGCTTTAAAGATTAGAGAATTATTTGCACATGGTAAGTACATTTAATCTCCAACAATTTTCATCGGAATTTTAGAAAACAAACACAAAACACACAAAATTATTTTTCGTCAATTCCATTGCGTTAATAATTGATACTCAGTCAGAAATATGTTTCTCAAATTGATTCAGAACGTCAATATTTCATTCAAAGTTAATTTTCTACGTTATGACTTGCATTCAATTCGAACATGTATAGATGAATATGAATATATATCAGTCAATGTATTTTAATGTTTAGAGTGTGATGATTAAATTTACCTGCTAAGCCTCTGAACGCGATTACAGCGCCAGTAAAGTTATAATTAAAATCAACTACACGTTACAAAAACTGTCCTTTAATGGAATTCAACCTTGCCAAAAGAATTGTTTCCTTGTTTTTTAGAGATTCAAGAAATATTTTCACTTGGAAAGCACATTTAATTCCCAACAATTTGAATCGGAATTTCAGGAAAAAAAATTACTTCACAGTCGTAGCAAGGGTTGCGTAGAAGGGTTTCGTTAATCGGGAGATGATAGTCTAAATAAAAATTAGCGACAAATATCTCCAATGGCTATTGAAAATTTTCGATAATGAACATTTGAATTCTCAGGAACTATTCTGCCTATTTCGCTCAAATTTTGTGTTTTGTTATCCAGATCCATTTTCTTTAAAATGATATAAAAAGCTGTATACCTTACAGTCCAACTTTTTTTTAATTTAATAAATAAAATAATATGAAATATTTACTATAGTTCTATTTGCCAGGAATTTTCATTGGAAAAAACAACATTTTTAATTCTGTTAAAAGGCTTGTCAATTCGCTTAAAAAGTTTTCGAGATATGGCAAAATACGAAAAAAGTAAAATTAACATTAAGGAGTCCAAACTTTGAAAAGCTCTCCAGAAAAAACTATGGGGGGCATATTTCCCAAGTTGCAGGTATTTCTGAAATTTCGATGATCAAAGAATGGTATGTTTATTCAGAAAAAGCACGTTTTTTATTCTGATTTCGTAACTAATTAACACTAATTAATTAGCATACTTGATACTACACTAATGAATTACCATATTTCAGATTATCCCTTCGAACCATTAAGATTGAGTCCTAGAACCTGAAGTTCCTCAAATTGGATAAAAAGTTATTTAATTTGGTCCGATTGTTATTTATTCACTGAACGTTGATTACCGAAAAGGTACTTTTCTTACATATGAGTATAAATTGCTCATCAAAATAATTGTATAAGAAATTTATTATTACTAGGAGGCTTCGCCCCCTGCTCGCTGGTGCTCACCAACCAACGGAACTGCTTTCACAGTTCATTTCGGATTGCTTCGCAATCCAATGCTCGCTTTGCTCGCTCATTGGATACGTTCTTAACGTCTGGTTTTTGTATACTTTCGAAAACTTTTCACTGTAGAAAATTCTAAACCTGTACTTTTCAATATTAATTTGAAATTGCAAACAGTTCACATATTTTTCTTAATCACACTATTCTAAATTTCAGTTGTTGAGAAAAGTAACTGTTGTAAGTTTTGTTTTAAAGTCTTTCCCACCAGAGGGCTAAAGCCATGTGTTGTAAAACAATATGAAATAGTAGTCTGCCACTGAACGCCGGATGTAAAGCATCGGCTTCGATGAAGATAATTTTGTATTTTTAATTCTCTGAAGGGCACCACCCTAATATTATGGAATTTGTAAAATAAATGTATATATTTTTGATTGTTGATGAAGCCCATTATTTTGTGTTTTCATCAGTGTTCAGAAGCAGAACAACTATAAGTTTTTTATTTTATCACAAAAATATAAAATATATAAAAAACAAAGAAAAGAGTAAGAAAATGAGTATAGTCATAGAAAAAGTTAAAATTATAATATAGTATTTGTCAGTTAAAATATAACTTTTTGTTTAATTCATTGTTAACAATTCAAATTTCTCCGAGGCAATTCTAAACCTTAATTTTGCTCTAAATGTCAGTATTCAGACATACAACGGAAGTTTAATATGAAGTTCTAAAATGCATATATATATACATATATATATGCATTTATAATTATTGCATTTATAATTGCATATATAAAAGGGATCATAGTAATTATGTAAGTAAAAATTAAGGTAGTATTGTTAAGTTGAAACACAATATTTTTAGTTTTGATGTCAACAATACAATTCAATTTTTCACAAAAACGATTGTTTCCATTGTTAAGTCTTAATCTCTAAATATTATTTTTTTTATGTACACATTTCTAAATGTCAGTATTCAACCACAAAGCAACTTCAAGTCCTCAAATTTAGCATGAAGTTGTAAAATGTAATGAAAGAGGGTCATAGCAATAATGAAAGTAGAAGTAAAGTTAGAACTGTAAAATTAAAACAATATTTTTAATCAATGAGCCAAGTTCTTCAAGAAGCAGTTGTAGAAGTAGGTTGTTTATTTAAAACTTTTTATAAAATTTCTTTAAGAACACAATTGTTAATTTGGGCATTTGGCGATACAACACTTTTAGAATTGAAGGATTTGTTACGCCAAGCGCTCAGGTATCATAATTTCGATCTAGTTTGATTTATGTTGCTAAGTTAACTTTCAAAAAATTCTATGGCTTTCAACAGCATTTTTATTTTTTAAGGTGTTTATTTTTATTTCTTTTGGAATTCGTTATTGTTTTAGCGAAATGTTTTTTAACCTAACAGAATTCTTTGCCGGCTGTTTTCTCTATGAATGAAGAAAATAGAGTAAATATTTAACTGTTGTGAAAAGAATCTTATTTAGTTGTACAAAGTACTTCAGCCAAAATTTGGGAGCCACGTAAGAGAATTATATATATTAGATCAGAAACACATCATTAAAAGGCAGAATGCTTTGGTGTTTTCAAAACAAAGCAAACGTTGCCACCGGCGGAAAAGAAATACAGCCAAAATTTGGGAGCCACGTAAGAGAATTATATATAATAGATTTTTATGGCTCACGTTTCATCACTGAGAAAAGTATCTGATATTTTTTATACATTTTTTCAGCAGTTCAATATTTATAAGAAATGAAATCGGCAGTATCGAATCACAGACTAAACTTTTCCTGTTTTGAAAATTTAAGTTATTTACATTCTTTTTATTTTATAGGAAATTATTGGATGTGTGATTGTCGCCTTTTGTGGATCAGAGATTGGATGATGGAGAACACAACATTAAATGCATCAAATTTTGATTTTTCTTGTTCTTTGCCAATCAGGTTCAAATCAAAACAGCTGAGCGAATTGACTAAAGAAGATTTATCATGGCCAAAAGAAGACTGCCCATCGTATTGTGACTGTTCGTGCGTTGCCTACCGAGACGAGGGATACGCAAATGTGAATTGCGCATCAAAAAGATTGACTCAGGTATTTATTATTATTTTCTTATAAACTCACTAGTTTAATTACTCTCTGAATCTATAATAATAATAACCCATATAGCAAAAATTCTTCCGTAGTAGCTCCCACGGAGGAATCGCTCACCCTCCCCCGGAGATCCCGACTTTTCCAGAATTCCTCCCGCGGAGCTCCTCAGTAATGCAAAATGTCCGCACCTTTCAATTCCTCAGTCCCTCCGACGGGCTTCCCGAAAGTCACTCCATTGGAGCAGCCGAGGAAGAACGGTTAGGAAGTTTCAAGGTCACATACTTTCCGACGGCTTTCCTCGGGCAGTCTCCTAAGGAAGTACTGAGGAAGTTTCCACAGGGCAAAATTTTTAGTAAATCCGTACTCCGGCTATACAAGTTAATATAGTTTTTTAGTTATATTTCTTTTGATAAATTTCAAATTATAGCCCATTTGTAACACTGATGCTCAAGTGAAATAATATTGAATTTTTGATTATTTTCATTACATACCTCCTCAGTCTTATTGTCTTTAAATATTTTATTTAAAAATAGATTTTTAAATTGAAAAAGAAAACTTGAAAATTACTGCTACAAAAATTGTAGCAGCAATTTTCTACTAAAAGCAATGATTCTCAATTGGAAACTTAATTCATTAGCATGAAAAACACTGCATATAACATATTTAATAAAAACAATGTGCATTGCAACTTATTTTATTAGTTAACGGAAATTTCAAATGAAGAATATTGCGTTTAATATAGAGCTGCTGACAGTTGAAAAAAAATGTGCGTACATGTTGCTTAAATTTTTTTTTAATATACAAAAGTGACATTTATTGTCACTTATGACATATGTTATTCATTTTAAGTAATTGTTACTTTTCGAAAATTAAACTTAACGTAATGTTTACTGCAATATCTAAAATGTTCTTTAATTTACTCTAGGATTAAAAATATTAAAAAGTTCAAAGAGGAATAAATTCATACCAGTAATCACTTCTAAGTCCTGTTTTCCAACTGAAAGCATTTATATGTCAATTGATAATTTTTTTAGTATTTGAAACTCTACTTCACCAATATGTTACCTTTTAAAGATAAACTTTAGATATCACAGTAAACATTGCATTAACTTTCACTCTAGGATAAAAATAAAAAAAATAAAAGCTTAAATTGGAAAAAAAAAACACAAAACAAATGTTAATTAGAAATATTTTTTTAAATTTATTAAAATTAAGAAAGTTTTTTTAAAATTTTTTTACAGTTTGCTACATTTCTCTTTACCATGGCGCAGCCAACTCTGGATGGGTTCCTTCATGTTAGCATTCGTAATATCGCTGTGATGAATTCGTACAACATCTAAAATATAAAAACAGAAATTTTTTATTTTAATTACAATTGAAAGGAAAAAAGAACTACTGAGAGGTAGAATAAAAACTTTATATTTGTTTTTTATACACTGGAAAAATTTATATGTATTTTTTTTTATTAATTTCGAATGGTATTTAAGCTGCATATTAAGCGCTGAATTTTACTTGAAATTTTTGCATTTAATGTTTTTTATAAATATAAAACAATATTTAAAAAAAAGTCTGGGTACAAGAATTCACAATAACGTAATACCTTTCCTTTAAAATATCCCTCCTTGATTAGAAAAAAAAATAAATAAAAATTCCCATAATTTTGGGAGCTTGAGATCTCACAGGTGAAAATTTATAGTTTTGTTTTTAATAGACTGAAGCTAGTAATTTCTTCATCTATTTTCAGAGACTCCTCCTGAGCTTCATCTAAAATATTACTTTTTTTTTGCATTTAGTTCCTCCATTTGACTTTCGGCTTCCCTTTTTCCTTTGCCGAAGTCTTCTTTCTCCTGTTGGTGCCTTTTTTCTTTATCTTCCACCTACCTCCCAGGTGAATTTCGGATACTCAGAATTAACTGCTTGCTGATTATGAAGTCACTTGCTTACCTTGAACAGTTAAACTGGCAAACACAATTCGCCTGGCAGTCAAACTTTTTTCTGTCATGTTGTCCCACAAGAATTGAGAAGTTCTGATTTCGCGGAATTTATTGCAAATTTCCAGGTTTGGTGAAGACATTTCTAGGTTTTTGTGATATCTTCACAAATTTTTCTGAATTTTCTGATTCTTCACTGATTTCCAGGTTCAGTCGCCACAGAAGGAATGCTTTGCCCCATGTTGAAATTAGAAATGTTTACTAACTTTCAGCGATGTGATTTTCAGCTTTTTTTTGACGTTTGAAAAGAAATGCAGTTATAATTTAAGAATTTGAAAAATAAACATAAGGCCTTTATAAGGCTTCAATATAAAATTAAGGCCTTTTTATGGGCCCTTAATCTTCTCTCCTTCAAATAAGGTCTTTTTAAGGTGCGTGGGAAGCCTGATGGAACTTTCAAATTAATATTTTGATGAAATATGTAGCTACTATAAGCTCTATTAGGAAAAACAAACTGAAGATGTGAGAAGTAGCTCATAAGGTTTTAAATGTTTTTTCTAATCCTGAAAAACATAAGATTTAGACACCATTCTTAAAATCATAGGAAAGTGTAAATTTAGAAGACAAGAGGCTTTATCTTTTTATTATTAATTTAATAAGGGTGATAAGATACATCTTCAGGATGAATTTTTTATATTTAATTTTTCAGAATTTTTAAAACTTTTTTGTATTTACATTGTAAATATTAACTAGAAAGGTTTTTAAATAAAACATTTCAAAAAAGGTTTAAATACATACATCCCTTTCACTGACTAACTAATCAGCTTGTAGCATTCATATAGCTTTTTTCTCAATAAAACTGCTTCTTATTGATAGTTAAAACAGCAGAAAATTAGAAAAATAAATAAAAGTATAAATAATTATATTTTAAAGGTATTAAAACGAAATACTACATTAGAATTAAATACCTGCTAAAACACTGCATAGTTCCAATTCAGCAAATGGTCGTTTTTTGTTGGTGCCAAAATAACTGAAATTAGCAGGTGGGGTGATTATATGTTGGAGGAGACGATATATTATATTTGGTACAGTATTTCCTTCTATTTTTCGCAGATCAGATATCTGGAAAACAAAATGAAATTACTCATTATTAAAGAAAAAATTATTTAATATCTGTGCAAAAAGATTTTTTATACATTTTTAATAGCCACTGTAATTACAAAATACGACTAAAATTCAAAATGGGATAAAGAGCAGAGTATTTACATTATTTCTTAGTAGAGGATAGTAAAAAACCAAGCTATTGTATTTGTATTTATTGAATTTTTAAAAATAACTGTATCTCTAAATAAAATATAATAGGATTTGAATGTGTATATAAATTTTATTACTTCAACAAATGTTTATTCACCAAGTTTAAATTCTTTTTAACACGTTCGCTGTTTAAAAAGCATTGCAATAACCTAAGTGGAATTAAAATCAAGAACTAATGAGAATGTAAACACTGACTTTGATATTGATATATGACAGCAATAAAATGAAATTGTCACCGAAAAAGTTAAAAGAATTAAAAAATTTTAATTATTAAAGAAATGATGGATCTGGTTTAATGATAAGCACTTAACTGCGTTTTTCATCATGAGATTGTTTACAAATTGCTATGGGGAATAGAACACCATTAATAATGGAAAAGTTATGTGACTTAAAAAATTTATATAAAATCAGAGGGAGGGGATAAAATAAAATGCAAGATGTCGTTTAATTAGAAACAGTTGGGAAAAAGAAATATAAAAATTTTAGATAAAAATATAAACTGCAAGATATTAATTAAAGTTGTAACGTATCAAGCTATATTAAGAAACAGTTCTATGTTTTATTAAAAAAACGTTTATTTCACACCACAACACATACAGTAACAAATATAAAGTACCCGTAACGGGATAGTGAAAAGATCATAAAACAACAAGAAAAACCCGTAACGGGATATAA